TTTTACGCTACTATCGTCTGTAGAGTATATAAATTAGGTACCGTAAGTCTAATACAGTACTGTAATTTTATACATTTCTTGTGAAAGAAACATTTCTTATTCAACGGCGATTAAAATTATTTATATTAACGATGTCTCCGAAGTTCAACAAAGTTTTCGCAGAAAAATAAGTTATCAGAAATCGGCCGTGGTTTGGTGTGCTGCTTCGCAACGAAAACAAGCTTTAGCAATGGGGTTGTCAAATGGTGCATACTCGGTAAGTAATCCTACAGTTTTTTGTTTATAGCGTAGTTTATATGGATTATTTCCAAAAAATATATACGTATTTTGGAAATGTTGAGTCGGATTAGTCTAGAATAGATTAATTTTATGGAAGAAAACCTTGCAGCCAGCCGTAGTCTGTAAACTTTACACGTGTCGGGCTGTGATTGGAACGACTCGTAAGAAATTGGATTCCTAAAAAATGGAAAGTATCTATGATCTTATAGGGGGGTCGACTGTACCTTTGATATAGGCAGAATAATGTATACAGTCGACCCCCCCATAACACGGTAGATACGTTCCTGTTTTTATGAATCCAGCTTCTAGGAGTCCAGCCAATCACAGTCCGGCATGTATACAGTTTACAGACTATGACTGTTTGAAAGGTTTTCTTCCATAAAATTAATCGATTCTAGACTAATTCGACTCAACATTTCCAAAATATGTATAATTTTTTGGGAATAATCCGTATAAACTATGCTATAAACAAAAAATTGTAGGATTACTTACCGAGTGTGCACCATTCGACTACGCTGTTGCTTAAGCTTGTTTTCGTCATGAAGATTGTCATCGAATGGTGCTCGCGTGCTTCCTGATAAATTATTTTTTTTGTGAAAAATGCGCTGAACTTTAGAGACATCATTAATATAAATATAATTTTTATGGACATTAAATAATAAATGGTTTTTAGTAGGACCTACTAAACACGGCTCGTTTAAACTCAACAGTTTGTGCAATCCTGTCACAACACGAGTCAGCGATGACGTTTTATCGAATTATAGGAGTTTTTTTAGCATGTTTGTATGAATACTGTCGCAATTTTTTCACCTTGATATAGGAATCTGAACTATAGGAACCCATTATAGGGGGATTGACTGTATATAATATTTTCTTTATTTTTAATGATAAATCTGTTTTTCATATATTATGCTATCCATTTTTTAATATCCTGCTAGGGTAATTGTTCAATATAAAAGTGTTTACTAATTCATTTTTTTGTTTCTCTCTCTCTACTGCTTTGGATGTTCTGTTCCATATCTTTGATAGAGCTGTGACAAAGTTATTTCTTTTAATTGCTATAAGGCAATATGATTTACAGTTTAGAATTTTATCCATATTGCAGTTTTTTTTATAAGGTTTTATATTAAGTATGTTTTTCCTGCATTTTATAGTTATGTCCAGATAATTAATTGCATTTTTAGTTTCTGTTTTGCTTTCAAATTTTACAGAATGGCTTAGTGTGTTCATATAGTTGTACAGTAGAGCATCGATTATCCAACTCAATTGGGGACTCAGGTTGGTCGGATAACCAAAAAAAAATGAAAAAAATACATTATTAATATAGTATATTAGTATATTCCATGTAATTAGTATATTAGTATATCGCTATTAACCAACTTCACGTTGAATTTTCATCAATGTTAAACCTAATAAAAAATTTTTTTAATAATAATCGTCGCTATTGTATCGTTAAAAATTATTTTTGAATTATTTTATTGCTCACAAAACAAACAACCATTCATAATTAGAAAATTAAGTCTCGTTTAAATACTGGCTTCCCTTCAATGATCAAGTTGTATTGCCAGCTAAAACATGCAAAAATTTAACAAAAATAATATTAAAGTAGCCAAGACATAGACAAATATTGTAGTGCCACATCACTAGCGGACATTTGAAATTTGCTGACTAGAACGGTCAGTTAACCGATGTGACGGTTAATCGGGGGTCGGATAATCGATGCTCTACTGTATATTGTATTTTTGTTAGTTGCATGTCGATATTATTATGTCGTCATCTACATATCTAGCTATAAATACTATTCCATTTAAATTTGCTAGTTTTTTGTCTATTTCTGTAATGCATATTTCAGCAAGATTTGGTCCTATTAATGTTCCCATGCTAATACCATGTTTTTGTCTATACAGTCGACCCCCCTATAAGATAGAGATACGTTCCATTCTTTAGGAATCCGATTTCTTACGAATCCTTCCAATCACAACCCGACACGTGTCAAGTTTACGGACTACGGCTGTTTGAAAGATTTTCTTCCATAAAATTAATCGATTCTAGACTAATCCGACTCAACATTTCCAAAATACGTATATATTTTTTGGGAATAATCCGTATAAACTACGCTATAAACAAAAAATTGTAGGATTACTTACCGAGTGTCACCATTCGACATTGCCATTGCTCAACATTGTTTTCGTCGCGGAACAGCTCAGCAAAGAGCGGCCGATTTCTAACAACTTATTTTTCTGTGAAAACTTCGTAGAACTTCGGAGACATCATTAATATAAATAATTTTAATCGCCGTTGAATAAGAAATGTTTCTTTCACAAGAAATGTATAAAATTACAGTACTGTATTAGACTTACGGTACCTAATTTACATACTGACAGACGATAGTTAGCGTAAAAATCTCCGTAGCGTGGCGCCACGCTAGACGGCGGAAATTATATATTTAATTATAACAAAGTTACAATAAGTTAATATATAATTATATATACAGTACCTAATTTATATATAATTAATATATAATTATATGTACAGTACCTAATTTATATATAATTTATATAATACTGTCCAGACGATAGAAATCTCTCTGTAGCGTGGCGCTACGGACGGCGGGAAAGTAGTTCAGCTGCCCGATGACGTTTGAGGTAATTATAGGGAATTTTTACCTTTTTTTACGGATACCGGTCACAATTTTTTCGTAGTTTTATAGGAATCATATTTATAGGGGGGTCGACTGTATATTTTTTCCTTGATATGAAAATAATTATTACAAGTTATATTATTTAAAACTTCTAATAATTACTGTAATAAATTGTATGTTTACCAATTGTAGAAATATAACACCTGATGAGGGGTGCAAGTAACATCAAAAATCTTACACCTGAAATGCATAGTATAATAAAGAACTAACATATTATCCTTACTAGTTGTCCCTGTTGAAATGCAGTTACAGATTTAAAAAATGACAGTGGAATTCTGTATCAACTATTAAGTTTTTCAAATTTTTTAAGATTTTTTGAAGAATTAATTTTAAAGTAACTTATGTGATGTCTGTCAGAGTTTTTGAATATCCAAGGTAACCTTGGCCAATATTAGGTCGTAGAATTGGTACTCTACCATATACCACACAATAGTAATGAATATTTATATAATGTGCATATATATGTTTCTTGTATTCCTTACTAATTAGATCTAGAAGCAATTGATTTAATGTCTTGCAAAACTCTTTAGCACAGTGTTTCCCAACGTTGGGCCCACGCCCCACAGGGGCAATTCAAAAATGGACTCGTCCAGAGTTTAAGTTAATTGTATAGTCGCTGTATGTGTTAGGGAGCATAAGAATGTTAGAAAGGCTTAGGTGAGGCATAGCACACACAAGGTTGGGAAACACTGCTTTAGCATGTAACATAAACTTACGTTTTACATTTGAAAATATCTTTTAGACTATCCATTATCAAGTTTATTGATTTCAATTTCTTTTTTTGTGTAAATACATTAAAGATAACCCAAAAGCGTTAGATCTGAATAATTTATTTTTCAGGTTTAACGGCAACAACAACTCATCTGAAGACATCTTAACAAATCTGGGCACAAGAAGATTTTGGGTTTATTAATTTGTTGGTTACAATTCTTTTTGTTTGGAAACACAAATTCTTTTGTCAATATTTTAAAATAATACACAAATGTTAACTTTTGTAATATGTTACTTACACATAAGAATCTTCAGTTTGTTTCGGCTTCTGTAACTTGTCGATTCTATAAATACGGAAAAGAATAAAAGAGTACGGTTCAAAAAATTCGCTACATGGATTAAAATATTCTCTCTGAAGAAAATTCTTATAACAAAGATCTTAAAGAATGCAAAAGTTACTTTGTCAATGGTTATAACTTGAGAATTTTGTATAGTTTGTAGGCAGAACAATATCTTGCTTGATGTAATATAGAGGAGAGATTCTCAAAGTATGGTCCCACTGTGTGGTCTGCAGATCAACCTTAGTCATTTTTCCAAAATACAATCCCATTGTTAGAGGAATGATCATTTTTCACACACATTTTGCATTCGATTATGGGATATACACAATATTATGGCAAACATCCAAGGTGATATTCATAGGATAAGGGAGCAGAAGGATGCTATTAATTATTGTAAAGTGAAAAAATACAAAGAAAAAGTTGTATATCCCGACACACACCAATTTGATGATTTGTTTTTCTAACTTTGAATATTTCCATTTTATAATATGGCTTTTATATAACTCTTCAATATTTAACAACTAGCAAATATTCATATTAGTATTTAGTATAAGTACTTTCATAAATAAATGAAAGTGTTATTTAATATAAGTTATGTGATAACTAAAAGACTAAGTAACAAAGATATTTTTGTGGTTTTATGGTATATTGAAGAAGGCAAAAATTGCATTTTGTCAGCAAATTTTCAAAATACAGTAGAGCGTCGTTTATCCGAATCAATTGGGGACTGGGGTGGTTCAGATAACCAATTGTGTACGAAAAAATATACAGTCGACCCCCTATAAGATCATAGATATGTTCCATTCTTTAGGAATCTGATTTCTTACGAGTCCTTCCAATCACAGCCCGACACGTGTGAAGTTTACGGACTACGGCTGATTGAAAGGTTTTCTTCCATAAAATTAATCGATTCTAGACTAATCCGACTCAACATTTCCAAAATACGTATATATTTTTTGGGAATAATCCGTATAAACTACGCTATAAACAAAAAATTGTAGGATTACTTACCGAGTGTCACCATTCGACATTGCCATTGCTCAACATTGTTTTCGTCGCGGAACAGCTCAGCAAAGAGCGGCCGATTTCTAACAACTTATTTTTCTGTGAAAACTTCGTAGAACTTCGGAGACATCATTAATATAAATAATTTTAATCGCCGTTGAATAAGAAATGTTTCTTTCACAAGAAATGTATAAAATTACAGTACTGTATTAGACTTACGGTACCTAATTTACATACTGACAGACGATAGTTAGCGTAAAAATCTCCGTAGCGTGGCGCCACGCTAGACGGCGGAAATTATATATTTAATTATAACAAAGTTACAATAAGTTAATATATAATTATATATACAGTACCTAATTTATATATAATTAATATATAATTATATGTACAGTACCTAATTTATATATAATTTATATAATACTGTCCAGACGATAGAAATCTCTCCGTAGCGTGGCGCTACGGACGGCGGGAAAGTAGTTCGGCTGCCCGATGACGTTTTACGTAATTATAGGAGTTTTTTACCTTTTTTTACGGATACTGTCACAATTTTTTCGCAGTTTTATAGGAATCGTAATTATAGGGGGGTCGACTGTATTAACCTATCCTGTGTTGAAATTTTTCTCTGTTGCGTGTCGCTTCGCGTTGAATTTTTGTCAATGTTAAGCCTAACGTAAACTTTTTAAAATAATAATCGTTGCTATTGTATCGTTAAAAATTATTTCTTTATTTTTTACAAACAAAATAAATATATTGAAAAATATAATAACAAAAAATTATACTTTAGAAGTTAATCTAGTATCAAAAACATTTGATTCAGCATGACACACAGTCCTCAGAAAAACATTACACACAAGTACCAGTGCTGCCAGCTAAAACACACACACCAACAAAATAAAATATTAGAGTAGCCCAAGATATAGTCAAAGATTGCAGTGCCAGAGCATTAGCAAAAATTTAAATTTGCCGACTGGAATTCTTTCGGATAAACGATGCTCTACTGTATATAAAAGCCAAATTTTGTTAATAAAAGCATCGCAAATTATCCCAAACACAGTGTATTATTGGAATGTTGGTCAAGAAAATAGTTTCCTCCTATGTCATTTATAATTGAGAATTGCAAGTGGAAGAAAATTTGAGATTGAACTTGATTTTTCATTGTTTTAAATGATCATTTGGTATTCTGCTGTAATGAGCAGGGCTGCGGAGTCGGAGTTGTGGAGTTTTGATGTTTTAGCCAGAATCGGAGTTGGAGTCGATAGATTTTTACGCGACTCTACAGCCCTGGCAGGGCTGTGGAGTCGGAGTCGGAGTCGTGGAGTTTTGGTGTTTTAGCCGGAGTCGGATGGTAAGGAAAAGTCGGAGTTGGAGTCGGTAGATTTTTACGCGACTCTACAGCCCTGGCAGGGCTGTGGAGTCGGAGTCGGAGTCGTGGAGTTTTGGTGTTTTAGCCGGAGTCGGATTGCTAAGGAAAGGTCGGAGTTGCAGTCGGTAGATTTTTACGTGACTCCACAGCCCTGGTAATGAAGTATTTTAGTTGAAATGAAATCCGAATTCTTGTAATACTTAATATAGTTTGAGGTGGAACATCTCTTTTGTGCGGAATACATAATGGGAGTACACATCAGTAACTGTTAAAATCAAAGTTTAAGAGTTATAATTGTTCCTTATAAGAAATCCAACTTCTGTGCTGCCACTCGGGCAGTAAATGTCCATTGTTTGGCTCCAGTGTGTTGTTTACAAGATAACTTTTGAACGGTGTTTACCACATTGTGATAATGAATTACAGTACAAGTGCACTTTTATTAAATTGTTTAAGTATTGTATAAACAAGAATAAAATTACAATAAATTAGACAGCTATTTTCTCATTTCGACTGTGAATTTCTATAATTATTTAACTTTACAAAGAAAATATATATTGGGTTTAAGCTGTATTGTGTGGTACTGTACTGTACTTTAAAGCAAGAAAAAACTTTCCATATTTGCATTACTTTCTTTGCATTTTCTCTTTCTACAGTTAATTTTCTTTCTTATCATAGTTACACTATTGCTTGTATTGTATAGTACCTGCATGTCTACTCCTTAATTCGTTTCCTATATGTAAGATTCAAAATGGTTTCCGCAGCGTGTAGGCCTATTGGCGGGAAGTAGAGGGCTTCGTAGAAATTAAGTACAGTAGAGCAGCGGTCCCCAACCTTTTTATCGCCGCGGACCGGTCAAAGTTTGATAATTTTACCGCGGCCCACTGAGGGGGGACGTTGATCGTTTATATTTTAGATTGACTTAATTTAATAATTTTAATTTAATTGTATTTAAACATGCCTTCAAAATAAAATACAGTTACACCAAAAAATGAATATAATGTGATTTAACATTTTAATTCACTAGAACGCTAAATCAATGAGAACCCTGAGCTTGTTTCATTGCAAGGAGACGGTTCCCTCTAGGGGTAATAGGAGACAATGACACCCGAAGTGTGTTTCTTACGTCCAGTTTATTCTGTTGTTCCGTCGTCCATTAAAAGTCGCACAAACCCGAGGAAATACACCATAGTAAATAAAATGGAAATAATTTAATGTTCCTTGGGCGGCCCGGTACCGTTTGATCCACGGACCGGTACCGGTCCGCGGCCCGGGGGTTGGGGACCACTGCAGTAGAGCATCGATTATCCGACCCCCGATTAACCGTCACATCGGTTAACCGACCGTTCTAGTCGGCAAATTTCAAATGTCCGCTAGTGATGTGGCGCTACAATATATGTCTGTCTTGGCTACTTTAATATTATTTTTGTTAAATTTTTGCTTGTTTTGGCTGGCAACACTGGCTCGACCATGAAAGGGAGGCCAGTATTTAAACGAGACTTAATTTTCTAATTATGAATGGTTTGTTTTGTGAGCAATAAAATAGTTTAAAAATAATTTTTAATGATACAATAGCGACGATTATTATTTTTAAAAAAATTTTGTTAGGCTTAACATCGATGAAAATTCAACTCGAAGTAAGTTAATAGCGATATACTAATATACTATACTAATGTATTTTTTTTCATTCTTTTCGGTTATCCGATTTTTTCAGTTATCCGACCAACCCGAGTCCCCAATTGAGTCGGATAATCGATGCTTTGCTGTAATATGTTACGGCTTATTCTGAATATGATAAGCAATTTAAATAATTAAACTAACAGCCCTATTCCTTTTATCGAGTTATTAAAGCTAAATATGAAATTACCGAGCAATTTGGCAGGTAATAGAGATAGTGCCTCAATTGTTTAATTGAGGCACTATCTCTTGATAAATATAATTAAATTCTTTATTTCCTGTATTTTTTGTGGTCTCATACTGTGAACGAAATAAATGGATGGCTCCTAACCAACAAGTAATCTCTAGAACAAGAAGTCACAATTAGCTTAAAACAAACAAAAATTACTTCACTAAATATGAATAAACTGTGCTTCTTGATGTCTCTAGTCACACAGAAATGATTTGGAGTCTTCTTTTATAATCGAAATGCACAAGTTACTAACAGTTACCTGTGCTTCAAAATGTAGGTTATAATTTAATACATGAATGAGCAATTATTTACTGTGACGTCACAATGCCAGGCTCCAATTTTTCATCACAATGCTCAATTTTAGTAGTCTTGCCCCTGTACAGCATACTTTTTCTGTTAGATTATCGGCATGACTCCATTGTTATGTATCTCCGTTCGGGAGTGAATTTTAGAATTGAAATAACGCGAGTTCCTGTTTGGACCGGAAGTTCATGTATAGTTAATCGAGGCCTCTCGTTCTAAGCTTTTCGTTTGGTCTCGACTTTCGTCTACCTAACTCCACTCTCGAGATTAAAGGAAGGACAGATGCCAGTGGGGAATTTAGGGGTCTACAATTTTTGAAAATTTCAGCCCAACGAGCCAATTGCAGTGCAGCTACCGTCAACGTGAAAGAAGCTGCAGATGGAGGTTTTGACCACAGTTGCCAATCTTTTGTCGAGAAAACCCCTTTATTTTATTAAACCCTCTAGTTTAGTTTCATTTTAGATTTAACACGGTCAAACTTAGCGTTAGCGTATTAAAGAATATTTTTCAGATGTAAACACCTGAATTTTTCTCTAAATAGTTTTGGTCCGGGTACAATGCATATTAAAAAAAAAATTGTTTTTTGACAAGTCAGAGAAACAAATGTTTCAGGAGCCGTGGGCACAGTTGAACAAAAGCATCGTGTGACGAAGCGACCTGCTCCAGTTTTCGCCGCCGGATTCTCGCAAGAACAATCACGAGTCATGTGACTCGCGATTGTTCTTTTGGAAACTACAATTACTACTAATCGCTGAAACTCCACTAACCAAAATGAGCAGGTTTTCAATATATTGAATTGTTACTTTTCCAAATGGGTTCCATTTGTTTTTGGAGTGATCTTTTTCATTTTTGCGCATTTACTTGTTTCCTCTATTTTTGTGAAAACGAGTTATTCAAACGAAAAAGCATTTGAATCCCCCGCTTTATCAGGACGGCATACGCAGCAAAGAGGAGTACGTGTTAAATGGACGGATGTTAAAAATCAAATCAGAAGAGAGCTACAGAGATGGTTCACGCGAATTTCAAAGCTAGACATGAAATATCAATAAACTTTAAAGGGGGCACAAAGTGAAAAATATTAATCTGGAGTTTGTTCCGCGTAATGCCGCCGCGTTCTCGATACAACCATTTGGATATTACAATCGTAAAAAGTTTGAAAACATTGTATCGCTGAAGGCCAGCAGAATACATCTTTGAAGCAATTGAAGAAAATATCGTCATCTACAGAAGCAGAAGAAATTATAATTTGTTAATTTTCTGATGTGTTTGTTGATGTTATGGCAACGCAACACTTGGGCGATCTGCCTAGGGAAATGCCTTCCGGGAGGTCTTTTTAAGGGAAACTGGCCCCATATTTAGGCATTACAGATGTGACGTGGAGAAAATCTGGAAAACTCCACGTGGCCAGCCCGTCTAAGCGAGGCGCGAACTCCCAGTGTTCAGGGTTCGAAGGCCGCTTGGCCACTGGTGGGCTTTTCTGATGTGACGATCGAAATGTAAGCAAATCCAAGTGACCTGACATAACACTGAATAAGATTAATTAACTGTTGAGTGTGTTATAATGTTTATGTAGTTTCATTTTAGATTAATACACTAACGCTGTTTGACCGTGCTTTTAAAGAATATTTTTCAGATGTAATAATTTTGTTTAACTACAGTAATCGATTTTTCGGTAAGAACGACGTTTCCGAAGCAAATTCAACATTTTTTTCAATATCTAAAGTATCGCGGCTTGCTTTAACTGAAACCAATCAATTCTACTTTATATCCACAATGTTTATAATTTTATTATTTTATTTAATATTTTTCGTGGAAAAAATCCATTATTTAGCACGCTGTAAAGGATTTATCGCTTGGATTATTTATGAAATAACGCTATTCGGGCAGTAGGCAATGTAATTTTAATTTGTGTTCGATGGGTGTATCTATGGGCGCTCTGAGACATTAATGTCGATATTAAAGGAGAGATACTCTTACGAATTTTAACGTTATATTATTTTTACAATTCGTTAAAAGTATGTGTGTCCAGAATTTAAAAGGTGTTATTTATTGCTTATTTACACTGAAAATTTATGAAGGGTTATTAAAACACATTGAATGTTTCACCCGATCGGCAAGTGGTCTCTTCTGATATATTCTCGTGCATCTATTTTTATTAATTGAGAAAAATTAATACAAATTTAATTAAAAGTATTAAGAAAATCTTTAATCACCGCAATTTAAATGTAAAAACAAACTTTTTTGATTAGATAAAAAAGATTAATCTTGAGTGGCGGCACGAAATCGTGTCGTATATTCACAAGAAGGATTCTAAATCATATAACAAAGTATGCCAGATACGAATGGGAATCTCATCGAACTCTTATCTTAAGTATAAACATGTGTTAATTAACTTCTTAAAAGAAACGAATATTCGATATTAATGATATTGTAAATATTTTCTTCGTTGACATATCATTAGCGATTTCTTTTTTGGGAGACTCGGAATCGAATGCGGGGGAGACAGTCCGGGAATTTTTCAAGAATGATCTATACCAGATATATCGGATCTCTCTAACTACCCGGTTTCTACCATTGTTGGCCTGGCCGAACCCATGATGGACATGGGAGAAAAGGCACTCTTAATTCCTAAAGGGCGGAGAGAGAAGGAAAAATGAAAAAAAAAACCGTATTGAAAATATGAATATTTATTAATAGCGATACTGGATTGGGAGTTTTAACTCCTAATTTTGGTGTTTATCTGACTAAGACGGAAAAAATATGGAGAATTCATTTGGATAAGTTTTTAGGGAATTTTCAATATGATAATCGTTTAAGTTGCGATGGCTGGATTGCCGATCGGTTAGGATGGCAACCTACCGCTCTAGGGACCCGAAATCGAATCCGGAAGGGTCGAATCCCCAGGAGCTTTTCGGGGGTGGACCGCCCCGCTACGTCTGGCCCCGTTCAACATCACGCGACGTTCCCCATTGTGGGCTTATGGGAATCTAAAAAAGTGTCCCTTAGTGCTTACAGGACGGAGAAAGATTAAAATAAAATCACTTCAGTTTTTATAATTTAAACATTATTTAAAATTTTTAAAAATATATAAATTCGATTACTTGTGTTATGAAAAGGAATATTTTTTTCTAAATCTGTTAATTTTAGGAAAACTTTGCAGATATTTACGAGAAATTAACTCTGTTGAGCTGGCAACACTAATAAGCAGGAAAAATTTATTTTTGCAGACGGAAAACCGTCACGTGTCTTTGGCAGATTGGCACTGACGCAGATCGACAGGTAATCAGTTGTATCGAGAGCAGTTTCGCTGTCATTAATCGACTTTCTCCCTTGTAATTAGATAGAGCCATTTTAATTTTGAGAGTTGAGCAGTTGTCATCGATCGAGCGTCAAGTTGAAGAGCGATTAAGCTAGTGACGATGGATGCCGTAAGGGGAAGAGCGCTTCATTTTGTTTTTAAAGTCGGAGATCGGAACAAAACCATAAAATTTTATAAAGACGTCTTGGGTATGAAGGTATAATGCATTCATTTTTATTATCTCGATTGTGGATATTAATTTTCTTGCCTATGTTATGTAATATAAGGTATTTTAATTGGTAAAATTGCAGTTCTCAATGAGACTCCTCATTCAGAATTACAATTTTTGCCAATTAAAATACCTTAAAATACCAGTCGTCGAAGGGTGTCTAAAATTTGGGGGTTACACCCCCCCAGATCTGGTAAGGTTTGAACTACCTCATTTGTGTCTTTTAATTAATTTAGGTTGATTTTATAGTAAAGTGACAAACTAGAACTTTGAGGCATAGTTTTTGACACTACCATGCTTCCTATATTGATGCTTTACGTTTGCTGAAATTTGATCTGGATTCCAGAACTCACCATTGATAATGAGTTTGGATGTCATTTACTGTTTCTCACTCACCCTAGCTATTATAGATCAAAGTCTGTCTGTAATATGCATTATTACAGTTAGCCGCACTGTGGATTGCTGTCCTGTATTTGTAAATCAATCACTTTGCTCGAGACGCTCTATCTGAATATTCTTTATTCTGCAATTGCCAATTTAAATATCAATTAATTCTTTAAAGTATTATAGTTTTAAATTGGATGTGCTTTCGGAACTCTGGTGGATTTCTGAGTGTAAATTTTGTATAGCTTTTCTGATGGCTATTTTTAAATAATTATCGGTTTCAATCGATTGATAAAATTTTGATAATTTTTGTTTGCGTGTAGATAAAACTGTGGGGTTTAAAAACCTTTAATAATCTTGTTAGTGTTATATGTTATTATTTTGGTTTTGCTCTAGAGAACCCGAAAACGAGGCAGTGGGAACAGGTTTGGGCACGGAAGGATCGCTTCTGTCAACATTACGAAAATATGATTCTGATTTCAAATATCCTCTAGCATGCAATGCTGTCACACTAACCGATAGACTTTTTCACAGGAGAAAGAGTTATCCCTAAAATATTGCTTTCTTTAGAAATTACAAAAATCAAAATAGCTAGGTAAGAATTGAATGAAATCTTTATAAAGAAACCAGGAGATTGTGGCAGTTGTTCTGTTTTTGGGCCGGATCACTTTTTCCTCCTTCCCATGGCCCTTGAAAAATTATTTTATATTAACCCATTTGTGTTCTGCTATTCTTTGTGAAGTGTATTGTATTTTAATACTAGTGCTCTGACATTGTCAAGTTAGCGATGCTTCTAAGGAGATGTACATAGAGCTCAGGAATGCTGTATAAAAAAACATGGTTGCCAAGAATTAAGGATAAAAGAAAAATAAAATGTTTTTTTAATGTAGTGTTTCTGTAGATGAGTATTACTTGTTTGACAGCATAAGAATGCCAATATTAAAGATTCTAAACTCCTAAAAAGCAGTTTTATCTTTATTTTAGTTATATTTGTGGCAGTATAAGATATTTTTAAGCATTGTAACCAAAACTTTCTTTTTATTTACTTTTAATTTTTAAGCATTTCTAAAAATATAACACTTAATTAAATATTAATCCTCAGAATATACTTTTTAATACATTAACACAGTTACAGCATGGAACTGCAGCTGGACCATAAACTGGGCTTTAAAATAAACAAAAGCATGTTTTAATGGAAATATAACAATGCATTTGATTGTATAAACATTTAAAGTCTTTAATTTTGTTACCTATTCCAATGCCGAAACTAAAAATTCTGAAAACATTTACATATTATTAGAATAGAATTTTGTTAAAAAATACACTTAGTTTTCTTTTAATATAATTATGATGATAAAATAAAATGAAATTCATATAAAATTAATATTTTTGAGTATTGTAATTATTAATTAATTCTCAGGTTTTAAGGCACGAAGAATTTCAAGAAGGTTGTAAAGCGGCATGTAATGGGTAATTAGTCAAATTGATATATTTATTAACGTGTATTAAATTTAAAGTATAAATTCTAGATTATTTTTTAATAACAAATATAAATTAAAATTTAAATTGTGTTTTAATTGCCTCAACATTTTAAAGATAAGTATAAAATAATTAACTGTAAAGGATTGAATTTTATGAGAAATTCATTGTTTTTAACACTTTTATTATGTTAAAATGAAGGTTTTTGTTTTCCAATTTATTAGACCGTATGATGGGAAATGGAGCAAGACCATGGTTGGATATGGAGCTGAAGATAATCACTTCGTAGTGGAATTGACATATAATTACGGAATTGGTTCGTACCGACTGGGAAATGACTTTCTGGTACATTAATTTTTGTTTTATATATATATATATAATTTTTTTTTTAATTATATAAACAGTTTTTCATACAAAAAAAAAAAAAAAGATAGAATTTAAAATTAAAATAAGGGGTTGATTTATAACAGAGGATAAAGGGATTATGGTAATCTTTTTCTCCTTTGCGATCAATTGATTTAAAGTTAACAAACTTCTGCTGTAACTTCCAATCTATCAATTTTTAAAATGTGTAAATGTATTTTTAAATTAATATTCTATTTTATTGAAATCAGAAATTTCAGCTTTACCACCCAATGTTACAGGTACATTGATTAATTTGGCAAATCAGAATAAAAATTATTCTGATTTGCCAAAATCAGAATAATTTTTATATTCAGATTTATAGTTTATTCAGATTTATGTCCATAAATATTCAGATTTATGTCCATAAATAATATTCAGATTTATATTCAGAATATTCATATTCAGATTTATGTCCATAAATGAAAGAAATAATTCAATGGAACAACTTGTTAGAGCTTTATTTTATTAAATTTATTAAAATATTTACTTATTTATCACCTAATATGCAGGATGCTTAGTAAAATCCTTATATGCCCAAATTACTGACGAATGCAGATAGCTACAGTTATGAACGTGATGTATAATTACAATAAAATGACTTTGCACTACAAAACGTGACCACTTGCAGCACCCTTGGAAGTTGAATTCAGAAATTAGTGCTCCCATCTCAGAAAGGCTGCACAATACAGAAAAAAGTCAATTACAGAGTCATGGAGCATGACCAATTTATTATGAAAAGATGTTGATTCCTATCAATGCTATGTTCTTGCTAATCATGTTACAGAGGATAGGAAATGAAACCACGCGTTAGGCATAGACATGGCAAATTATTCTGAGTAATAAGAAGCTGTAGCCCGGATACAAATTTATATTTCCTATTCTGTCCCTAATTATCACAATTTGCTGCTTTGTGATGGAATTAGTGATGTAGCATTGACAAGAATTGAATACCAACAAATTAGCATTTCACATTACTCATGTATGCAGAGTGTCCTTTTGTACTAAATCAGTCATGCCCTATGACTTTGTAATTGACTTCTTTTCTGTATCATGCATCCTTTTCTAGATAGGAGCATTAACTTCAGTTTACCACTACAGGCTCTATGTCTCACCTCTAGCACTTAGTAACTATACTATGCACCTTGTTTATTATTTCACAAACAGTTTATTTACTAAAACAATAACATATTGTAATTTTACTTCAGTTTATTTACTATTCCTTTATTTTGTAATTACACTTTTAAGTATTGCATTTTATGATGACAATAATAATGATACATAATTAAGCACTGCTGTATTTTTCTCTAGCCTTTTTATAGAATAGAAATAAATTAATTTCCAGTTTCATTCTTGTCTAAAAACTTTATTATTATAAATTTGAATGTTGTTTTTTTTCTTTGTATTTGTAGGGGATAACTATAAAATCAAGTAAGGCTATTGAAAATGCCATTAAAAACAAGTATCTTATGGCAGAAGAAAATAATACAAAAGTAATCGAAGCTCCTGGAGGATATAAATTTTTTTTAAAAGATGAGCCTAACAATTCTCTAGGTACATAAAATTTTTATTTTAAAATAGTCATAAATTTATATCATTATGAAATGATTTAAGAGTTAGCAAAGTATAATTCTAAAATTATTATTTGTTTAGAAATAAATCTAAATTACAAAGTGCATGATAACGTCTACAAATGTTATGTTGATGATATCTTAATTATATGGAAAATAAGCCAAATATGGAAAAAGTCAATTACAGAGTTGTAGAGCATGGTTGATTTAGCACGAAAGGATATCCTGTGTACATGACTAGAAAGCATGAAATGCTAATTTGTCAGTATTTGATTGCCATCAATGCTGTAACATCTCAGTTTTTCCAAAGCCTGGAAATTAGTCAATGTGCAGCATTACATAAACAAAAAACAAAAATCTATATTGCTAGTGCAATGCAAAAGCAATCATTTCATAGTAATTTACGTTTCTGTGTGTATATTGTCTACTTGTATCTTGTTTAAGTAGAATCTATATACACAGAAATGTAAATTACTGCAAAATGATTGCTTTTGCAATTGCACAAGCAAATAGATACTTCTACAATGCCAGGAAGAGCTCTTTTGGTACCTGGATAAGTGTTAAAATGAACACCCCATAGATGAGATGATTTCAATAGCTCAAACTTTGCTTCCATAATTCTGCAGAAGTTCATTTTATTTACAAAAATACTGTGAAATGAAACATTCATAACACATATTAGACTTGAAATCTTGAAATTATCTACTAATTGTATAAGTTACATTATAGAAATAATTATGATACTGTTTCTACTTTATTCTAATATTTATTTAATATTGGAAAATATACACAACTGAGGTAAAAATAAGTAAACAGTAAACAAACTTAATTATACGAAAGTTTAATTTGTTAATAATTTGTGCTGAATTGTAAAAAAGAACATTATTTATCTCTTAAAACACATGCAGTCTTCGACACAAAATCTTTATATTAATAATAATTAGAACTTATAAATTTTAAAATTCTATATTAAAAATACAGATAACAATTACATATTTAATGATTAGTTTCTAATTAATTTGACTACTATAATTGTTAAAATTAATATGCAGTGGTGGCATATTTGATTACTTCTAGTCAAATTATTGATAGTAATTGATCATTTTAACATAGCTCAAAAATAGCTGATAATTGGCAGATCATTTGGCAATAATTTATTAAATTGGGTTATGGGTCGTCATTGTTATGTGTTGGTATGTATTTCATTTAATATCTCAGAATGGGATAAAGATTAAGAAAAAAAATTTGGCACAGTAACTTGTACATAAGAGATGTTGATTTTTTTTCAATACGTATCTCAAGTGGATGGGGAGATAGAGGGGGTCACACATCATATATCAAATGGTTTCAGACTAATTGAAAATTTTACTTGTTTGCATTTACAATATTTTTAAAAAATTGTTTCTGTAAAATGTGTAAAATTTTTCTGGCAATCTTTGTGTACAAAATTATAAGCATATTAATATATTTTTAAAATAGATAGCTGCCTACAATAATAACTTACCCAAGGCTCTAGACTAGCTATAAGATTTAATAAATCCTTATACAAATGCATTTTTTCTCAATTTTAAAATATACAGTAAACTCCCGATTATCCGGCTAATGGTGGGGAGATGTGGCATGGATAATCTGAACTATAATTATTTATTTCTAAAATACAACATGTAGATTCGACATAGATTCACCTTTTTCAAATTTTTCAATTAACGTTAGTTTTTCTTTTATAGTAAGTATGACTTTCTTTCAATTATTAGGCATTTTAAGGGTACTTATCTGAAAATTAAAAAAGCATCTTATTTTACATAATTTTATACTAAAAGTATTTGTGGGAGAATTATATCAAATCTTAAATTGTAATACGTATTATAACATGCAACTAAACGAAACTTTGTTTAAATGTACTCACTATCGTTTTCTCCTCTGAAAAGAAACGTTTGGCATGAAAGAAGCAGCCTAACTAAAACCAGTCCAGCTGACTTCAGATACCTCCACCACCCGCTTCAAACATCTAAATACGAACACGTGCACACTTATAGGATGCATAGACATGAAAGCAAGCAACTATTTAAAAAATACATACACATATTTTTTTTTTTTAAATTAAATTCATGCACGGATAATCCGCAAACCGGATAACCCACACATGGATAATCGGGAGTTTACTGTACTTTTGTAATACATTTAACAAAATGGAGGTCTAAAGGTGAATCCCTGGAATTTTGAGACCTACAACATCACAAATGTCTGGGGGTTTGTGAACTGCGGTACTCAGGGGGATGGTTTAGCAAAAATGCATTATTATACCAACCTGAGAGAGATGATCAAAAGTGACTCTAAAACTATACACACAATTAACGGATGACCTCTAGAAGAAAATTAATATTTTACTTTTGTTATATATTTTCTTTTGATTTTTTTTCTTGTTTTTTTTAATATCAATAAAAATCCTTAAAACAACAACAGAAACTTTGTCATCATTATATCATCTATTTGGACCTTGTTTATAAATAGGACTTATTATACTGGTGTAGTTTCTGATTAGCAAAGAAAGGAAGTCTTAGTCAACAGGTAAAGCAAAATATTTTCATCTGTACACCCCTTTTGTGTTTTGAACCTGGAAACCCCTCTTCAGCAGGTTTACAACATTCTGTAACAATTGTATAAAACTTTTAAACAATGATATTACACCTGACAATATTTCAGATAAGATAAAAATTACTTACATTTTCTCTAAATCTATTTCTTTCTTTTTTCTTTCTTTTTATTGTATTTAAATTAATTTTGAATCCTTCTTTGTTACAATGCTTGGCTACTGCTGAATTTGCATAATTTCCTTTAATTGATCTGATATGTTCTGTTATACGTATTTTAAGTTTTCTTTTTGTTTCATCTATCTATGTATGTTTTATCTTGTCCACAACTACCTTGTAAAGAAAAATGTAAAACATTAAGGACATAGAAGTAAAAAAAAAATTTTTTTGTCATCATTGCTTTGAAATTAAAATGTTGTTCATGAATATTTTTAATATTATATAATTATTTATCAAACTTATACTTCCTCTATACTTTTTATGTGCAGATCCAGTTGAAAAAGTAATTTTGACCAGCTCCAATTTAAAAAAATCACTAGGTAAGTAGAAATAATCTTAAATTTTTGTGTATTAAATAATTTGAGCAGCTCAAGTTGTAAAGAGTTGTTTTTGTTAAACTTTCTGACTTACATAAAATTTTACTTTTATAATTTTCCTAAATATTTATGCAGCAACTGCAGCTATTTGCACTGAATTTGATTGAAGCAAACAGAAATAAATAAATAATTCTGTTCAGCTTACTGAATAAATAATTTTATTTATTCAGTTTCTTCATTCAGGAAAAATTACAAAGGTGTGCTTTAAAATGTTCAATAAAAAGATTAAGATGTATGCCACTACAAACACTTTATAATCAAAAATTTTCCATACTTTTTTGCTTCATAATTGGATCTTTCATTTACTTCATTTATATGTTTTTATATGTTTCTGTAATTTTTTAAAATTTTGTTCTAGCCAGCAATAATTTACATAAACTTTTGTCAGTAAGCAACATCATTATATACTGCTGTTCCCTGGCCTATGTAAACTATAAAAATAAATTTATAAATAGTCTGATGTTGAACATTATAAATGCATTTGTGCAATAACTCATTATACTTATAACACTATATTTTGAAAATGAGATTGTTGTCATTGATCAATTGTTCTCAACTATTGTTTGTGGCCTTAAGATCATCTCATTTCATAAACATTTTTACTTGATCGAGTAAAAATGTTTATGAACAAGTTATGAACATACTTGATCAAGTAAATAATCTTAAATTATAAGATTTGAATCTAAAAATGCAAATATATAACAGCATCTATCAATTTAATTATCATATTTAATGTAGTTGCTATTTCTTATCTTAACGTATTTTGAAACAGTACCAAACTTATGCTCTTCCATAATTCATTTACATCATTAAGTATCCTCCCAAACATTATTAAACAATTTGCGACTTGTTCTGAGTATTTTGGCCTTAATAGGCCAAATACTCAGAATCAGGATATTGATGTTTTGCTACTTCTTATTGTCTCTGTTATAATCAAATGATTACTCCAATTCACTACTGTTTATATTTTATAATATAAGTCTACAACAGAAGATTTTGTATATACTTTATAACATTACAACTATTTATAAGTTTACAACAAAACATTTTATAATGGAAAATACCAATGTGAAAATTTACTTCTAATTATGTAATAAGTCATAAAATTGATTGGATTTTTATTTTTAATTTGCAGCTTTCTGGAATGAATTATTAGGAATGAAAGTATACGAACAAAATGACCATATGGCACTTTTGGGATTTGCTGACAATCAGGTATCTATATTTTGTTTTATAAAATTCTTGTTACACTAAATAACTTCCAAAATTTTCACATTTTTATTATCTATGAGAAATTTCCAGTTAGAAATTAGACAAAAATTTTGAAAAATACATTATTTAAATCAAATGATTGAATATGTTTTTGGATTTTTGTGATTATCCTATCAGCAATATTCAATTTTGCATGCAAGATTTCTTTTCAATTGTTCTTAGTTTTCATTACAACTTTATAAATTTATCCTTTCAATTTAATAGTGATAGATTTTGATATACAGCAGAAACTTGATGAAGATTTTACACTATTAACTTGTGTTGTGCACCAGTTAATTATATTAATATGATTAATTACAGTTGGAGTTTTACATTATACTTTAACAAACATAAGTTAAACCTATGTTTTATATTTGTTAAATATAAAGAATCAATGCTCAGTTTTTTAAAATGATAATGTACTTGCAAGTTTGCTATTTAAAGTGTTGTGTAAGTTCAAAATAATCTCCATTTAGTTATGGTTTCATAAAATATCACAAAAGTTTCATGATGAGTAAGAATTAATTAATTTCTTTTTATTTTTGTTTATGAACTTGAGCAAACTTAATTTTATTTATTGTATGAATTTTCACTTGCATACAAATATTTTTAATAGAAATCCAATAATAAGTATTTAAAAAATATTTTCAGTGCAAACTGGAGCTAATAAGCATAAACAAAGATGTTGATCATGCTACCGCTTTTGGTAGAATTGCATTTGCCTGTCCAGAAGACCAAGTAATTTATTCTTTTTATTTTGAATTTTTAAAGCTATCAAATAAAAATATTTACTTATTCGACTTTATGTAATAATTCCACAGCTTCCAATAATAGAACAAAAAGTCAAAACTGCTGATTACACTATTTTGACTCCTTTAATAAGTCTGGATACGCCGGGAAAAGCCACCGTCAGAGTTGTCATCATAGCTGATCCAGTAAGTGCAATTAATTACAGTTTAATTTTTAAAATGATGAGAAATGAACATACAGAATGATAGATCTTAATCTATATTCAGTTCACACAAATGATAGAATCTGCATTATATATACAGTGGTATTTCGTACTTTGAACAATTCCAAGTTGGAACATTCCAGAGTTCAAACACTACATTCAATCTGAAGTTCAAATGATGCTCCTGCATTAAACTGTGCACACAGTAAAAAAATGTGCTCACTGCATAAACACTATCTGTTGTGGGCACAAATCATATTCTGCTCTCATTGTTAAAGCATCTCTTGCATTACACTCCAGTGTTTTCACTGTTTTTACACTTTACTTTTTGGTGTGTTTGAGTGTATATATAAACCCCTACCTATTAACCATGGCATCCAAGAAGAATGTGGAAGCAACAAAGCCTAAGAAGGTTATAGTACTAACAATTGAGGTAAAAGAGGAACTTATTGTAAAGCAGAAAAGTAGTATACTCGTGGCGGATCTGGCAATCATGTTTAAATGCCAAAGTTGACGGTGTGCAATGAGTAAATGCCATTTTCATTTTATTATACAGTATTTGCATATTTTACTTATTATTTTTGTCTTTTAATTTATTATTTTGGACAATTAATTGTGTTATTTTTATCTTAAAATATGTATAGTTGCTGTTTAAGTTTATCAAAATGGATATTGTTTAGCATCTGGGAACGGATTAATTCAATTTCCATTATTTCTAACAGGAAAAATTGATTTGGACTTTGAATGATTTAGAGTTTGAACTACTTCCTGAAATGAATTAAATTTGAAGTACGAGATACCACTGTATCTTGTATAGTCAATTACAGAAGTAGTTATATTGTGATCTACTATTCAGGGTCCTAAATTATTCAAATTCTTAATATCTCTCAAAATAGTCACAACAAGTTAATGTTTGGATTACTGTTCAACTAATGTCATAGTAAATTTTTAATAACTAATGTTTGATATATAAACATTTCCACTTTCATACCAGAAGTTTATGACTGCAACATATGTGAAATATGTATAGACATCCGAGAAAACACACAATCACAATCCTTAGATGATTCACAAACACTTCATTTTTTACATATTATAATGAAGTTTGTGCACTTTAAATAAGTTAATGTTAAGAAATATATGTTAAGAAAATATATTGTGATGATAACTGTGATTATTATGGAAAAATTTTCATTTTAACAGTATAAAATATAAATTGTAATAGGAAACATGCCTTTTATACAATGGAAATTCTTCAATATGCTAATGTTTTCAGTTAGCTTTACTAGCCTTTGAATCCAGTTTAAATAGAATCAAACAGAAAACACAAGATGGTGGCCTAACTGCCTATCTCTATACAAAATACTTTGTATTTAATGACAGGTATCTCTCATATAACATGGTGATTACATTCTGAAAAAGAGCCATGTTATGCGAATGCATGTTATACGAAACAAAGGACTAGTGCAAAACATAGGGTTAGGTTCCAAAAATTAAAAAAATATACCATTCTTCTTCATTACTAAGAGAAATATGTTTATGAAAGCAATCAATAATTAACTAACAATCACAGTCAGAAGCATTGTATTACATGTTAATATTAATTTTAGTTAAATGAGGACATTTTATTTTTACATTGTGATCTGAGCTTTTTTGCTGATCTCAGTCAGAAATATTAGCAATGTCTTCATTTTTTTTATTTTTATCATAATTTTTTATGGATGACTATATAAAAATAAAGATATGTTATTACAATAAATTACCAAATGATCACCTTAATATTGGGCTATAATATGGCTAATAAAATGATTAGTATAAAGTAATTTGACATTAGAGGTAGACGTTAGGCACCATCTCTTAAGTAAATTAATAATTATAATTAAATAAATAAATTATTAAATAAATTTAGAACCTTCTGGAATAAAAGAACTGGCCTGGGACGGGGCTTGAACCCGCAACGTCCGCTTGCTGTGCGGTGCGCTTGCCAGTTATGCCACTCAGACCCCGAGCGAGTCTTCGCTTCCAGAAGTACATTAGATAAGATATAACCTTACTTGGTTAAATACATCACTGACTGGGGACGACTCCATCGCCCATGACCCCAACGGCACTCAGCCAGCTAACGTAATACCCGGCGAGGTATATATATATATATATAAATAATAACAACCCAAAGCCCGAGAAGTATACAATAAATCACCAAACGATCGCCTTAATATCAAGCTATAATATGGCTAATTAGCCATTATATGGTATGATATTAGCCATATTATAGCTCGATATTAAGGCGATTGTTTGGTGATTTATTGTATATTTCTCGGGCTTTGGGTTGTTATTATTTATATATAGATATGTTATTAATCGAAAATGTGTTCTAGTGGTTAACATTTGTTCAATCGAGCACCAGGTGATTTTTTTTCCAGAATTTGTGTTTGAATAACCAATTGTTCAAGTTGGGAACTGTTTGAATACCAATATACCACTGTATTTTGTTTATTTTTACAAATGAAGTAATCATTCATAGGTAAAGTTGCCCTACTCAGACCTATTAGAGTCTGAGTATGGCAACTTGATGTATTTGATGTATTTTGATGAAATATATGTTAGATGGACCATGGGGAAAAGGAAAATGCAAAAAAAAAATTAGTTCAAATTTCTACTACTAGGTGAAAAAATGGCACATAAAGAACAAGAAACACAAAATGGAAACACACAAAAGGTTCTTACTCACGACATTTGTTCAATGTGCAATCCATTTGCTTCAATTACGTGTTCAAAGCACCTTACAGCATTGTCGACAGTAGACCGATACGTTTCTTGAGAAATTGCAGCAATATGGCTTGTTATGCTTGCTTTCAATTCAGGTAGAGTTCGTATGCCTCCTCTGTAGACATGATCTTTCAGATATCCCCACAACCATATGGATTTTGCTTGAATTGAAAGCAAGCATAACACACCATATTGCTGCAATTTCTCAAGAAATGTATCGTGCTACTGTTGACCATGCTATAAGGTACTTTTAACATGTAATTGATGCAAATGGATTGCACATTGAACAAATGACATGAGTAAAAACCTTTTGCATGTTTCCATTTTGTGTTTCTTGTTCTTCATGCACCATTTTTCACCTAGTGGTAGAAATTTAAATTAATTTTTTTTTGCATTTTCCTGTTTCCCATGGTCCATCTAACCTATATTTCATCAAAATATGTCAAAGAGAACAGACTCTATACAGCCTTCTTGATAAAGCACTGAGTTCAGCGTATTAACGCTGAACTCAGTGCTTTATCAAGAAGGCTGTATAGAGTCTGTTCTCTTTGACATATTTTGATGAAATATAGGTTAGATGGACCATGGGAAACAGGAAAATGCAAAAAAAAATTAATTTAAATTTCTACCACTAGGTGAAAAATGGTGCATGAAGAACAAGAAACACAAAATGGAAACATGCAAAAGGTTTTTACTCATGTCATTTGTTCAATGTGCAATCCATTTGCATCAATTACATGTTAAAAGTACCTTATAGCATGGTCAACAGTAGCACGATACATTTCTTGAGAAATTGCAGCAATATGGTGTGTTATGCTTGCTTTCAATTCAAGCAAAATCCATATGGTTGTGGGGATATCTGAAAGATCATGTCTACAGAGGAGGCATACGAACTCTACCTGAATTGAAAGCAAGCATAACAAGCCATATTGCTGCAATTTCTCAAGAAACGTATCGGTCTACTGTCGACAATGCTGTAAGGTGCTTTGAACACGTAATTGAAGCAAATGGATTGCACATTGAACAAATGTCGTGAGTAAGAACCTTTTGTGTGTTTCCATTTTGTGTTTCTTGTTCTTTGTGTGCCATTTTTTCACCTAGTAGTAGAAATTTGAACTAATTTTTTTTTTGCATTTTCCTTTTCCCCATGGTCCATCTAACANACGAAAATTATTATTTTCGTGAACTATTAGTACTTCAGTGTGTAAATTTTCTTTTCTCGTCTCCATACACATGGTCCTTCGCAAAAATTGTTTCAATTTTGCCAGATCTCGACGCTCCTGATTCTGGTGTTGCCAGATGTTTTTCCCTTGTTCCATAAGTGCTTAGCACCATATAAGGAAATTTATAAAGATCTTTTAACTAGAAGCAAGCAATCTAAAATTACATACACTTTTTGCAAAAGGTAAAACATGAATCTGAAAATAATGCAGAAAAATGCTCAGAGGATAACGATAACTCAAAAATAAAATGCTCTCGATTAATAGTGCTTTTAGTGATGACAAAGAAAACATTGTTTAATTTAACATATTAATTAATATGTATCACTTAAGAAAATTTTAATAAAGATATTTATCTTAATTATAAAAATATAGTAGCATGTTTTTTAATTTTTGGAACCTAACCCTTCTTTTCGTACTAGTTCTTTGTTTCGCATAATACGGATTCTCATAACACGGCAATTTTTTGGAACGTAACTATCGTGTTATACGGGGGTTACCTGTATCTGTAAATTGTGATATTTTTTTCATCTATTATAATCATACAGATGTCTGCTAATTTTGGTCCTGTAATGGATCCCATTGCAGTTCCTTTCTTTCGTCTGTAAAAACCTATAGACATTTTAAAATAATTATTTTTAAAAATAAATTCAATAATTTTTTTTGAATTTATATTTATTTAAATGTTGTTTGTGTTTAAGTGAATATCAGAAAAAAGAAGACATATTGTCACATTTTGGTAAGTACATGACATTACTATATCTAATAATAATCAGACATTCAATTTATTTGCTGATTTTAATGAATGGAAACAGAAATATGAAGTGGAAAATACTGTTAAGTACATTATAATGAGTGGTTCAGAAACAAACATTAAGCCTAATAATTCTATATATTATAACTGTCATAGATCTAGTTACTTCAAAAGTAAGGAAAAAGGTATTTATCAATTAAAAATAGAAGGAAGCAAAAAGATTGATGGATTCTGTCCATCCCAAATGAAAATGAACATAAAAGATAATGAAAAGTGTCTTGTTACCTTCACTCTGCAACATGTAGGCTATCAAAA